TTTTATTTATTATTTTTATTTATTTATTTATTGGTGTGTGTGATGTAAATGCAGAGTTTGTCTAGTTACTGGGGGTACCTATTTCATAAAATTTATGGGGATGTTAATACTATACACAGATATATGCGTATCCAGAGAGGCTTTGTGATCATATAAAACTTAAGAAAGAGTAAGAGGATTTTTTTTTTCCTGGATATTTGCAGGGCTGTTTGTATCAGAAAGCAGTGGCACAACTGGAAAAGAAGGAAAAATGCATGTCCCCAGATCACAAGCAGAAAAGTAGATGCTTTGAAATACTTTGATGGTAACAAGAATGTTGTCTCCTCTCCAATGTAATTTTTTTTTAAAGCTCAGTAGGCAGCAAAATGAAATGTTTTACGGTTTTATCAAGTGCAGCAAAGTCACTGCTATTATACTTGCAATTTCATGACCTGGTAAACAGATACCTTTGTGCATAAGGGTCTAAGTGTCAGTGGTGTAGAAAACTGATGATTACGCTGCTTTGCGAAATAGGAGCTCCTTCATGAGAAATGTATGGTACCTGAAGCAGCATCACTTGATATTTGCCCTTGTAGACCATGACCCTGTGGCCAATGTTTATGGTGAGATGAAGAACGAAGAAAACTGCTGGGACAGTAAAACTGGTGATATATTTATATATTTCAGCTTGGGCTATATGGAATATATATTGCCTCTTCAAGTACAGTGTTTTTCCCTGAGTTTTTATGGTGGATATATTAAGCCACCTGCAGGTCCTCTGGGTCTGGATAACTGAGTTTATAAAACAGAGAGATATGAAAGAAATCTTGGTGGTAGGAGGAGAGCACCCCTGGCTGAGGGTTTTCACAGAAATCTTTTGGATTTCACCAGTGAATGGTTGCTTTATGCTGTTCTTGCTGTGTCTTATCTAATTTGTTATTGACGCTATTGCATTTGCTTTCAAACAGTCATTAGAACATTTAATTTGCAGCAGCTGTAATTTATATTTGTAATTTTGTCTAAGGTCAATAAAGGAAACTGAAGAGATTTATAGTCCTAGTTTCAACTAAGATAAATAGAAACAAGCTCTATTTCCCTGAAAAGCTTTATTTAAACAGCATTTTAAAAGAACAAAATTAATTAGAGGGGATATTTGCATGCAAGTATGGGTAAACAATCCCTAGTGTCTGGAAGAAATACTAGGAAGTGTGAACATGGTCAGCATGTTCTTCTCTGAAATACAAATAAGCTCCTGGGAACCCTTACCTTCAAGGAGGATCCAGTGGGACTCCAGTAACTATTTCAAAAGGTTTCCTAAGAGCAGCAGTTGATAAACATCCTTGAGGTATGTTGTATTAATACTCTACAAAAACATTGTCGTTGCATGTTTTACATACTGTCAGGATCAGTCTAAGGGTGGAAAGCAAAACCCTGAAAGCAAGGCTTTTTTGTTTGGTTGTTTGTTTCACAACATTCCTCAAGCATGGGTTGCAGAAATGTGTTAATAATTTTCAAGAAGTCTCTGTCATTTATGAAGTATTTATGTTTGAAGCACCGCCTGATGCATGGGGAAGAGGTGCCTCTCCCATCCAGCAATTAGCTGAGGGATCATGCCAGGCAGCAAAGACACGAGCACAGCCAGGCCTGCTCAGGGCTTCAGCACAATTTCAAGACGAGTTTTGTGGAAGAGAGGAGGCAACGCCTAATGAAACCCCTCGTTCGCACAGCAGGATGGGATTCCCCGCCCCAAAGAGCTGAAGGCTGGGGTGATATCACTGCATCTGGTCCCGAACAGGGCAGCCTGTGGGTGTGCTCGGCCCTTTGGCTCCGCAGCCTGTCTAACATGGCACCCTGGGGAGGGAGTTCTTTCTCCACCCCCTGCTAATTTGATTTAGTCTAATCCAGCAGCCTTTTACCAATAGTCTGCTGGTATCCTTGTGCCAGGGTACATGGTACTGTTCCCTGTGGTGTAGTCAGGCTTAACATTTCTGCTGTTTTGGATAAAGCTCCAGTCCTACTGGTGTGTGATCGTATGAAAATGGCAGATTTCGTACTGAAGAAAACAATAATTTGTACTTCTCAGTGGCATGAGGGAGAAAGTTCCACAATAAGACTGTAACCCCTTCCCGAAAGGGCAGTTGCTTTCTGGATAAGATTTGCAATATTAGGGTGTTTGGGGTTGGAGTTTTGCCTACCTGCTGCACCCTTTCTGGGTTTTGCTCACCTCAGTTCTCTTGGTGTGGCAAAACCCCTGGCTTTGCTGTGCTCATGGACCTGTGTGAACGGGGATGGCACATGCCAGGGAGGAAGGAAGGAAGCAGGACACCCGTTCCAGCCTGCACATAGCTCATTGCCCCTTCTGGAAAGATGGGTGTCTGGCTGACAGCTGTATTCTGCAGGCACCTATGGGGGGCATTCCAGGGTGGAAAGTGCTGTTTCTAATCTGTGCAATTCTTAGGTTGCTAAAGGGGGGGAAAATAAAGGAAAATAACAAGGAAGACTCCCTATTTTCTACTTTGGTAGAAAGCTTTCTGTTTCATGCTTCCTCATGTCACATCCTATTGAAGGTTACGGAGAAAGTGAGAGTGTAACCTACCCTGTGTCAGTGTGCACGCTACATTTCAGGAGGAGGATTCGTCTTTGAATGCTAACTGCCAATGGCAGCTAGGCGCTGTCCTGGAAGAGACATACTTTCCCTTATTGTGGCTGTTTGAATTCAGTTCATTTAATATGTTTGTAATTGTATAGGGCAGTCATCTCTACAGCAATTTTTGCCATAAGCAGCCAACCAGCACCTTGCATCCAGTCATCACTGGGGTTAAATGTTACCATTATGATCTTGGACTTAATGTGAGTAATATTTGAACCACAACAAATTTTTATATGGGCCGTGAAACAGTGAACCCCATAATTATTTCCATTGTCATAACTTCTATTAATAATTGCATATATATTAAGGCAATTACTAGATGTGCCAAGAAAGGATTATGGTGCTAGGGCAGGTACAGAGAGAAGTCTGCAGAAGAAGATGGGCTTTCTTCTAAGGAATTTTTCTTTCAAATGGATAACACAGAAGCAAATGTGTCAACAAAAAATTTGAGAGGCAAGGAGACATGCTCAGCCATGTAATTAATTTAGTAGAACAGAAAAGTAACCTGTAATCCTGAACCACTGTTAGGCTCCAAAACATTATCCTGTTCACCCAGCAGAGCTATGGCACACTGAAGCTATAGATGTTTTATTTATTGTGTGCAGTCGGTTCAACTTGTGACTTCACCTGCTCTATTACCCTGTGTTTTCCTTAGAAACTTCTAACAAAAGACTCGAGTGAAAGATTTCTTCAAAATAAATAGCTGTTTGTGAGTCAGCGCATGATATTGGATTTCACCTGGTGTGGTTTTTGGAAGAGAGAAATTTAAAAGGAACTATAGATAACAGCCAGATGTAAATGGCTGGTAGGTTAGTCGGAGGGCTGGCAGGTACCCCGTAATGGCCCCGTGTCCTGTTGTCAGCCTGCAAGACGCTTGTCTTCATGCCTGAAGGGCTACAGCCCACGTGGAGGCAAAATGGTCTGTTCTTTTGTCGTCTTCAATAAAACCAGGGGAGTCGATTTCCTTCCAGAACTGCATGTTCATATATCCCTAGGATCTGTCCTCTTCTGCTGAATAAACACTGCATGGGGGCACAAGGAGGGCTGGCCGACTTTTTAAACTGCAATGAGGGATCTGCTGAGGAAGGTTTACTTCTACTAAGGAGGTCTTCTGCTAAGCATCAGCAGAGAAGGCTTTAACCCTCATCCCAGCACAATCATAGCATCTGGAGTATCTTCTCCACTGCTTTCCTCCTCTGATTTTCAGGGTGGGTATTGATGACCAACAAGAACATCTCCAAATTCAATACCCCTTAAGGTATGCTGTTTTTTTCTAACCACATTCAGGGCTTTCCTCGGTGGGTGAGTACATGGTTGAGCTGAGCTTTGGAGCCTAGCACTTAGATTTGCTGCACACCAGTGTCAGGAGTCCCAGCTGCAGTCTGGAGATGGGCTGCTCTGCTTCCCTGCACATTGCTGGGGGAGAGTGGGGAAGAGAGAACGGAGATACGTCTCCATGGCTTGGGTCCCTGGGGTGAACAAATGAAAGAAGGGGATGTTGGAGACGTGTGCCATTATACCAACGTTTCAAGTCACTAAATAATAGGCAGTATTGTGAAGCGTCTCCAGGGAGGAGGCTTCCGGTGGTAGCTCTCTGTGCCTCCCTGCTGTGAGTCACTGTGAGCTAAGAAGAATTGGTACCAAGGAAAAAGCACTGAGATAATAACCTTGAAAAATTAGAAAAGAGGAGGGGGGGAAAGGAGAGAATTATATGCTGAAAAGAGCAAACCTGTCTCACCATAAAAACATTCTGTAAATGAACTCCCATGCTTCCAAGCTGTATGTCTTTATCAAAACCACCATCTTTAAGGGTGGAGAGATGTGCACATCAAGATATAAGGACTTAACCTATTGTGTTACAGCCTAAGCCAGTGATTGGTATGCTGCCAGTTTGCAGCAGGCATCACCAAGGCTATGGAAATGTTTTTGAATCTTATGCTCGCAATTATAAGGAACAGTATTTTGTGCTGCCTTGGGAGAAATAGCGAGCTGTGTTTTCCTTTCTCTGAGGAGGTCTCTAGTGTTAAGAACATTGACATCTATTCAAGCATATTTTACCTTTCTAAGAGCTGTAGACAATGCTATGGTGTGTGGAAATTTTGTGGTGTTTGCTAGCTGCTGGGTCTTCTTTTCTTGGAGATAAATGTACGCTGTGTTATTAAGAAGGACCCTTCAAGTTGCTGTTCTGATTTATATTCCATTCTAAACTGTTGCACACATTTATTGTTTGTTAAAGGCTGACATCCCTGGAGACCTAAACACTTTATTTATCTGCAGAGTGAAATTCTTCTCTCTGAAGAGGGGATGCCAAAGGCACTAATTGTCAATGACAGTCTTGCACACAACAAAAAATTTTTTCTCTATTTTTTAGCCAGAATAATTTTCCTATGTGAAGATGAACTCCTGAAATGGGAACTGATTTGGAGAATTTATCTGACAGAGGCAATAGGACTTCAGCTTGAGGACCTAGACCAGTCCAAATGAAGGTGAGAAGAAGAATGGTGTTATATATGGAACTTTTTCTTCATATGCTCTGCCTTTGTTCTAAGGCCAAACACTTTGTGGGGCAGCCTCGAGAACTGGACTGTGCAATGTGAAGTGACAAATAACCTGTATTTTGTCTGTAGGGCCCAGGTGCCAATGATAGTGGTGTTGGGGCAGGCTTGGAGCAGTTTAGGATGGGAGATCTGGGGATACAAACACCTCCACTCTAGACGTCGTCGCCATCCCTACCACTAGAGTGTAGGTCTCAGATATAAAATACTTCTGATTTTATTTTTGTTATTAATCTCCATCTGTTTAGAATTGCCTAATATATACCAAGTGAGCTTCTTTAGCATTCTGCTCTCCTCAGCTCTGTGTGGTTTATTAATAGGCGTACCTGGCATCTGCTGCTCCACAGAGAACTCATGCCTCCTGTCCTTAAACAAGTCAATAATTTGGTCATCCTACTGATATTATTTTAGGGATGCAAAGAAAGAGAGGGAGGGAAATCTTGTAAGAGCAACATACTTTTTTAGCCTAGCATATTGGTTTAAATGTGGTCCCAGTACATGGCTATATCACAACTTGTAAAATACCTTCCAAAGGCAGAGTTTATAGATGTTACCAACTACTTACCAACTGCCAGTAAAGGCTAATAATGAAAAGTATTTTCATTTCCTCATTTGTCTCTGTCAAAGGAAGGTGACTGTATGATGGAAAAAATAACTTAACAAAAGCGTGGATATTGATCTTCACATTTACATTCCTTCACCCACCCTTTAAGTAGGCAGCATCCTCCAGCCTTACTCATCTCTGAAATCCCAGAGAGCAGGAAGCTCCGATTTAATCTGCGGAGAGGTAGGAGCTTTGGCCCAGTGTGCATTTTGCTATAGCATTCTACAGGAATGGCTACAGGGCATCTACTCAAGAAAAGTGAAAAGTAGATTTATTTTAATTACATCAATTTATGCTCATTAAAAACCTCCTCAATAACTAACCCTGGTATTGAATTGTTTTGTATCTCTTCCTAATGCACTCAGACAATGTTTATTTAATTTAATTGACAGTAAGGGTAAATTTATAGGACTGTAATTCACGCTTTTAGTGAAAGAAAAAAAAAACTAACAACATGGAGCTGTATTATTTGCTACAGAAGTGAAGTAGAAAAATTCATCAGAGCAAAGTGTATATTCAATTTTAATACTTTCCCTCATCAGGGTCTTTTAATGGAATTTCTTTTGTAATTACTCTAGGGCATTTGAAGCTGTCCATTGTGAGAGCTTGCCAAATAACTCTGAAATGAATCCAAATGATAGAGAAGAAATTTTAATACTGTAACCTGTTCACTTCTTTTTCTCTTTGATATCACCTTTTCTGGAGTAAAATACAGTGATGTTTCCCCAGAAGATCTCCACTTCTCTTTTTCTCTCTCTCTTTTTTTTTTTCTTTCTTTTTTTTTTTTTTTTTTTTTTGTCCAGAACCTTTGCTTTACCGTTTCAGCATATGTTGTAGTTTTAGAATGGATAATCAGACCCACTTGTGGTTCCTGAAGGTTCTTCCTGGATCTCAGCTAAGAATGGTGCCTCCAAGTCCTTAGCCTTTCCATGCTTGGCTCTGTAGAAAATAATACTTTTTCTTTATGGAAAAAGTCTTCAAATAATCTAATCTAAAAGGAAAAAAAAAAAGTCCAGTTGAGACATTTTAGATATTATAATGTCACGAAATAGTACTGTCACACCCCATCCTTCCTATTTTAGGAGATTTTGATATGCTAAAGTGAAATGACCAAAATGATAAGGGAAGTTTGTGGTTTTGTTAGACCCCGGCATTGTAGAGTAGCTCTGAGAAGCCTTGTAAGGCTGCACTCATTGCTGTCCTCCCTCCACTAAAGGGCAGCCACTGTCTTCTCACTGCACTCTGCTGGAGGCTCCCATGAGCCAGGAGGCAACTGGTTTCTGGCTGCTTCCTTCCCCAGGATCAGCCCCGCTCGTTTCTTGGTGAGTTCATCCCAAGGTGCCCGTTGCATGCAGTGGGACTGGCAATGGAGCAAGCAGGACATTGTCCTCCCACTCTGTCCTTGTGGGGTGTACATGCCCTGCCACAACCTCGTGGAGGAGAATTATCCCCAAAACCATCACTTACAGAAGCTCTGTAAAAGACAACAGTCAACAACCTTTGACCTATTTCTGGTAAATACTGCCAAAATACGAGATATTCTTTGCAGTCTGTTTTCCTGGAGTGTGTAGCAAGTGGTTAAACCTGCAATCACAACAAGGTCATAGCAGTTTGTAGACTTCTGTGCAGGGAGCAGAAGGTGTTTCTATGGGGCAGTGATTTTCCTTAAGGAGTGAAGTGGGACCTGACCTCACATCCTACCCGCTCATGGGGAAAGGGTCTGTATTTAAGCTCAGGTTTGTAAGAAATTGTTCCATTGCAAGCTGTGTAATACATTTGAGATGACAAGATTTCTTCCTGTGCTATCATAAATAAAGGTAAGTATGATGCTAAGAATTAATAAAAGGAGTTCATTTCTGCAGACAATCAACCTTCAGTACAGAAATCAAAGGCACTGATGAACTTTGGCCTCTCTTTGTGAAGTTGGTACGCTTTAGTGATTAGTATCAGGCCTCAATGACTTCCAGTAATGTGTAAGTAGCATCAACAGCAGCTACCACACAACTTCACTGGGCTTTCAGATAAGTATCTAGAGGTAGAACCAGGTTTTAGAGGTTTAAAGAGTGCAATTACCATTTTAATATTGCTGCACATGGAATTGGAAGATTAATTTTTGTAGGTCTATTTTTATGATTTTTCACAGGTTGGGAGAGATATGCAAAAAGCTGGCAACAATATGCTAGAAATAAATTAAGTGCTGCTGATAGCTAATTAAAGGAGCACAACTAGGTAGCAGAATTATTGGAGAAAACAAAATCTGTTTCATCTTAAAATCATGCCGTACTTTTTATTGGGCCTCCAAAAAGGAGGAGAAGAATTTTTGACATCATCTGCTCTTGTTTCTAAATGAAGTCTAAACCAGCCTTTTCAAAGCAAGGCTATGTCTCAGAAGTTCAGAGAATAGAAAAAAATATATATTTTTATTCCCCTGTAGGCTATAGTTACTGTTTTAACATCTGTGAGTGTATTTATTGTTACCTGTCAATTCCTGTATTCTAATGCACGAATATAGTGCATTTTACAGCTTAATTTCCAGCTCATTCACAGCTTTCTGACAAGGCTTTTAGAGTTGTCCAATAGAAAATGAACTCAGTTTCTAGACAGTGTGGATACGTGACTATTTCATTGAGATCCAGTTTAAGAAAAGAGGTAGAAGCTGGCAAGTCTACCAGAGAGCTGGGCTCATCCTGGGAAAAAGCAGCAGTGTTTTGGCACAGCATCAGCAGGAGATTTGCTGCGAGCGGCTGGTGACCTTCTCTTTTCCTTTCAGACTTGATCTGAGCCGAGCATTTGTAGCTGGGCTACATCTGGGGGCGGAGGGAGGGGGATGTATCTGTATCAGCAGCATGCAGCGTCATGTCAAAATCAAGACGGACTTGATAACTCTAATTAGTATTATCTCCCTACAGCGTGCTGCCAGGGATGTTGCTAAGATGCTGTGTGGGTCGGTAAGGTGGCGAAACAACAAACGATGATCGTAGAGAAGGATGGAGACAAACCCATTAAAAGGCATGTTCCACACTTGTCCTGCGTCTCACATATTAGAGGTATTGAGCTTAAATTTTAGACTGGCAATAAAGTATGGAAAATCCATGGCTTTGAGATCTTGCTACAAATTAATCCTTTCAACAGGCAGCAAGTTTTGCTGTGGATTCAGGTTTGAGGTGTTGGACCAAGCTCTGCAAGCAGGAACAAACCCCAGCTGTTACATGGTCACATCACACCCTGACACCGCACTGAGACAGGAGCAGAGAGGTGGCAAGTTTTAATGGCCTGTAAATGTAACTGGTCACATCTATATAAATGCTGGGAACGTTGATGTGTCCTGCAGCACGTTCCTGAGGTGTCCCCAGTTTTGTTCCAGAGGTGTTAAGATTGTTAGAGGTGCTGTGTGGTGTTTTCTGGTTTGGAGGATGGGAGGAAAAAGGAAGAGAACTAAATAGATATACTTGGGAGACTCTAAAATAACTGCTTAGTATGCATTTCATTCAGAGTTTGTTCCCACTGGACTTGTCTTAGGGGTAAAATGGAGGCCATAAACTTCTTGCCACAACAACCTTAAAACTAAGCTCATACAGCTGACTGAAGCCCTTTAATACATCTGTATTACACAAAAAAAGCTCTCTGGTCTTGCCCCATCCTTACTCCAGTGTCTCTCTTTGAAGAGGCAGATTGATGGTCAACCCACTGACATCTATTCTAATGACAGAAGCATAATTTAACAACAAAAAAATATTTTAGCTGATAGGAGATAGTAAGGATTTTTTCCTCACATTCTCTCTTTTTCCTTTTAGTGAAGGGGATAGCACCAGATTCCCTTTCACTAGTGCAAGCATGTCACAGGATCTGTAAGGTGCCCCCCTTTTCCTATTCTTGCTTTTTCTCTCAGCATCAGTATTAAGTGTCTGAGAAGATAACTATTTAACAACCTATTTTCCAAAATGAAATAGGAAAAGAAAGGATTTTTTGTTCAAGTATTGCTGATGGCACTTGAAAAACATGAGATCCTTTAAGAGCACGTACCTGAGCCTTCCAGAAGTCTATTCTACGACAGCTGCATCCAGGGGTCAAGAGGCCTCACATGAGAGCCACAGAGAGTCCAAAATTCCCAAACACACCCTTGCTAAGAAGGGTCACGGCTGTGGTTGCTCACTGCCCTCCCCTGCATCATCACCGATTGCCCTGGGGTCCTCTGCCATAAAATTGGTGGGGAGCCCACGGCCGGGCCTTGGCTGTGTCAGCGAGGAGCTTGTTTGCAGCCTAACCACCAGGATGACTTGTGTGGGATTCTTCCTCCATGAAACATCCCAACTCTGCGGAGATAGCTCTGCCCGTGGGCTGTCAGCCTGCCTTGACATTTGTAAGTGCTCCAGCTCTGCAGTCTCACGGTGAATTATTTTTTCTGCTGGTGCTGTTGATGCACTGCCTTTTGCTAAGCTTTCCATCCCTATAAATCTTTCTAGGAGTCAGATTTTGCAATCAATAACAGCTCCCAAGCAAGGCTGACCACCGTGGGCACCTTGTGAAGTCCACATGGAGCTTGTGCACAGGGTGGGAGCTGCCACCGCACCGTGAGGCATCCATGGGCTAGCGAGAGCTGCAGGCATCAGTGTGCCTTCAAGTAAGTCCTTGCCAGCCCTCCCTTCCTGCTGGAAAATCAAAATACCACCATCCTTCTGCCACCACAGAGATGTTCTGGTTAATTTTCCCCCTGCTCCTGTTGAGGAGCCTGCACTGTGCTGTAGATGTACGCATTGTGGGATCACAGCTGTACAGCCTTGCATCTGCTCTGCCCACCTGCTTGTAAGGCGCACTTGCTCCTGTTATATTTGCCTGAATCGAGTTGGTGGTATTTACAGGGGGAATAGCTAACCAGCTTCTCTCAGAAGCAGGAGCTGAAGGTAAGCATATGGTAACCTGTAGGTGTATAAATGTATTATGCATTTGGAAAGGGCAGTGGACTGATAAAAAAGCAAGGGGTTTCTCCCAGAGAAAAAGACTTGGGTGGTGTTGTGGTGTTTTTTTTGAAGGGTGAGGTCGATAGGAAAAGGAATAGATCCTTCTATTTCATGTGTGTTTCCTTGTGGAAGTGGGAAATGCTGGCATTCAATAGGAAAGTCAGAATTTTATGCAGCAAACCAGTACTTCTTTCAGTGTATTTATTTACTCAAAACAGCTATACATTGAAAATACTTTTGGTAGAAATGTGTGGTCAGGCATCATCTCACAGGAGACCTAGGAGACCCAAATGCAATATTCTTTTATCAAGCGTGTTTTATTTTGTAGCTTCATAGCAGACTGTGTTTTTAAGAGAGCTTTCTTATGGAGACAGGAGATGTTCTCATGAAAAATAAACAGGGAGAGTGAAGAATCTCTGAGAAAATTCTTTCAAAATTGAAACTGACTTTCTTCATAGCTGCTCCTGTGGCCCCCTTTCATGTCCATGTCCTCTGGACAGCTCAGCAGGGAGCAAGGCTGGCACGGAGGCTGGGGCTTGTGTCTTGCATCGCATACTGGAAATCCTGTGAGTGAGGCTGACCAGGTTCATTGATGAGCGGGCTGTTCAGAGGAGAAAAGTGCCACGCAGCTGAGATAAGTAACCACGTCAGAGCAAATTTTGACAGTTGTGCTAGAGCAACCTGAATTAGACCAACCTTTGATAGCTACAAAGGTGGGACTTCATGTCCTGGGGGAGCAGGTTTTCCCATTATATATTCATTTAATAATTTTTTTTTTTGCTCTCAATTGGCTGGAAATAACACAAAAATGTTTTTTTGACAGACTTGTACTCTTGCTTCTGAAATCCAAGGGAATTAAGAGATCTAGCCAGACAGAAATTTAAGAAAACAGTAACACTAAACTGAATTTCATTCAGTGCTTCTGTCTTTATTGTTTGACTGTGGATTTGTGTGGAAAAGCTTTATTTTCAAGAAATTATTCCAAGCCTTCACTCAAGTTGCAATTTATAATAAACAAAACTTGTAAAATGAGAGAGAAGTCCTGAACCAATGCAAGGGATTTGCTGACTGGGATGTGTGGGGTTTCTGTCTCAGGTAGATGTAATGCAACTAATAATCTGTGGGAAAGGTCAGCATGGAGGAGGCAAAGTACATTTTTAATTTACACACTTACGTAGCTTGTGGCAGGTGTTGAAATCAGCATCACTGATACAGGGAAAGCATAAAACACATGCAAAGATGTCTGGCATTATTGCTTTTAGGTCATGCACTTGAAAATGATACAACGTGGAAGGCAGGGACTTAATGTAGAGAATTCTGTATTTCCACCAGAATGCTCCTACCCCTGCTGATGAGCTGACATTTGTGGTCCAATATTTCCCAGAGATACTGGCAGCTTTATAATTAGGCCCTCAGTCAGAGCTGCCTTTCCGCTCATGCCTCGCCCTGAACAGATTTGCACCGTAGAGGTTTTTAGTAGCAAGCGCGATGTTTGACACGCATTGACCAGAAGTAACCGGAGCAAAGCAGGAGCTGGGCTTAGTCCAACTGCGGTTGTGTAGCACCGAGGCTTTCTGAATCAAGCTTCTGCCTCAGTGACTTCTTCGGGGTCACGGAGTGTTCATTAGATGAATGGGAATATGTATATATGCAAGCAGCCCTTTGTCACCCTGGGATAAAGCACAGCCGTGTTGCCCAGGGACACAACAGGACCGGCCTCGTGCCTCCCGGCTCGCCTGCTGTGCCGAGAGCGCTCAAAGGGAGCAGCGAGCCAAGAAATGCTCTGAGCGCCCCATGCTCAGCGGCGCCTTCAATGGAAATATGAATGGTTTAAGGAAGTTTTCTCCAGGATGTTTCTTATTCTGTCCCCATAAAAGGCTTTCCCCCATGCACAGCGGGAGACCCTTGCTTCACAGCCTGCAGTCTCAGAGGAGCTGCTTGCACTTGAATGACACCAGGAGAAGGGTCGCAAATGCAATATCAGGCTTGGTCAAACTCATGGCAAGCCAAAAAAGAAGGGAAACGATGAATAATCTGTGTTGTTTTCATACCACGATAGACTTTCAGAAATACTCAAAAAATGTCTTTTATTTCTTAAATGGTCTGTGAAGTTCTGGCAGATGTATGAGCATGCAGAGATAAATTATTGCAAAATTGTCTCTATATTTGCATGCATAGCTGTAGATATAAATATCTGTATGTTTCTGTGCACATGCAAGCAAATATATAATGTGTGTGCATGTGCTTTTGTTTATATATATATGCATGTACTTTCATGCATACACAAAAATAATTTTGTATAGCTTTTCTCATGTTTAAGGATAATACTGAAATACTGGTGTTCAGCAATCTAAATCCTCAAATGTGTTGAGGAAAGGTAGATTTTACTGGTGTTAAATGAAGCATTTAGCACAGAGGGCCTCTCACCTTTGGTGGCACACTCTCAAAATGAAATCCAGTGTTCAGATACAATAATAAAAAGAAGAAAAACAATATTACCTGTTTAAAGAGAATATAAAAATCCAATTAAGTTCGGAATTTTAATTTGCTTGCAAGCTTGGGTTTGTTGCTCTGTGAAAAGAATGAAAATGTAAATGACATTTCTGTGTGTTATCTACATAATCCAGAGGCTAGAATATCCTGTCATGCTTACTTTGTCTAGCGATGATAAAACTAAACAATTTTAACTGAATTTCCTGTAAATGGGCAAATAATCAAAATTGAACATCTTTATATTCTGATCTTTCATTAATTTATGTAGAAATGCTGTTATAAAGAGATTAGCGGTTACAAAAGAAAATGAATTGTGCCTGGCATCTGACAGCAGCTACAGCACGTGAAGTGCTGTGGGTACAGGAAGAACAGCGTGGTCACTCGCTTCTGAACCACAAATTAAAGCATGGGGAGGGAGGCTCTGCTCCATGGGGCCCACGGGGCACCAGCCATCAATGTGCAGAGGCAGAGTATCATGTCCGAGTGTCACTGCCGTCCCCTAGCCCTTCTCAACTTGAAATGCAGTGGTTCAGTTGTGGCTGCTTGCCTGTTGGGTATGGACCAGAACTGGAAATTCTTGGTGTTAGAGTTTTTAAATACCAGTCTCTGCAATGATGGATGCCCAGTCTGAAGACTATCCAGCCCCACAGTGTCTGGGAAATCTGTTCCTTCCTTCGGAAATGGTCAGCGGTTGTTTGTACACCCTGCAGGTTTTGATAGTAGATACGTAAGCAATTGTTAAATCGTTCATTTGATGTAGAATGGTACAGAAGGCAGAGCTGTAAAACTTCCAGATCCACCTGTTGATAAGCAAGCAGCTTTATCTGCTTTTTCCATTTTTTCACAAGCTATCAGTTCTGCTCCTGGCAGTACCTCTCACTACAGATTTTGCCACCTTCAATCTGTTCATTTCATTGCAGCAGTACGGCAGGGATGGGACCAGCATCATCTGCACCTAGAGTCTTCTACGCTTCACAAAGTTATGCATCCTCTTCTGCATTTCTTCAAGTACAGACAACTGGCAACCTGCATGTCTCTTTGTGTCCTGCAGAGTAATTAAAGGACAGCCAGGTAAGGTTTAGATGTGTATAAAATATATTTTTTCTTTATTTTTCCTGTATTAAGAATTGCTTATGTATTATTTATCTTGTCACTACTGTGGTCCTACAGCGTATCTCTTGTTCAAGGTCATGTTGCCCGTAAAAATGAAAAGAATGAATTATAAGTGTATGCAGCAATATAATCCAAAACGTGTTTGATATGACAAAGTTAACACTGTGATTTTAGCCTCGTTTCATTACATAGCCTCATAAAAAAATCTTGGGGCCTCATCTCAGTTTCACAGGCAATATTATGCAAGAAGCATCACCTGCCAGTGTCTTAGATGCAACCAGCAGGTGTTGTTCAGCCCTTTCATATTAACCTCCTACGTGCCTCTTCAGAGGTAGCATAGTGTCTGCCTCAAGGCAGCCTCAGAAAATTAGGCACCCATGTTTATAAACATCCTATAGATCTGTTTTCATTTTCCTAAAAAAGGGTATCAAAACAGTCACAGACACTGATGCAGGCACAAATTTTCCCTGATGCTTCAGTGCTTTTGCTTCCTGTGCACCCTTCTGCTCCTGGGAAGGCTCAAGCTGTGTTGCAGCAAACCTGAGCCAGCACTGTCAGAAAGCAAAGCCCCTCTGCAAGCACATCCCTGCTGCTCCTGCTGCTGGAGCAGAAGGACCTGACCGCGCCCTTGTTTTTAAAACCAAATGCTAAATTTAATCAGCAAAAGATTAAGCAGTCTCAGTTCTTTCTGATAATGTTTAAAAAAAAATAATTGCAGATGGGTTATTTGTGTTCAAATATTAAATCCCAAAGGGGTGGTAGTTATTTTTTGTAATTCTGTGGAGACAAAGTAAATGGTTGTGAATAGCCCAGTGGTAGAGTACAATTGATTATTAACATCCATGCTATTAAAACCACCTCTGTTTGCCAAAAGGTCTTGTTTCATGGGGTGGACCTGTGTGTGTACCCCTTTAGAGTTAAGCCCTAACAGAAATAAAGCACAGCAACACGGAGGTCTGGAAGGGTTTCAGTAGAGCTGGTTGCTGCATCCTGCCTCGCACAGTGGCTTCACTACAGAGAGGTCCCTCTCCACTGTTCAGGACATGGTTTGTACAAATGGCATCTCATCTGGAGCACTTGCTCAGCAACATTCATGGCCCTTTCCAAAAAAGACCTCCAATAGTTCACCAGAATTGCATTTAGTCTGTAGCCCCCCCTGGAGCTCTTATGAATACAATCAATTTCTGCAGATCAGGACAAAAATGCAGAGGACTCCATGCTGTATTGACTTAATATATGTCATAATGGCTCTGTCTGGACCTAGGCTGGCTATTATTCATTTGAAAGATCAGTGCACACCACAGTGCAGCTTTTGCATGACTTGCCCTTCCTGCAAGAGCTCAGGCTTGCAATGCAGCTGCTAGACCAAGAAATAAGAGTTTGAGCTCACAGTACTGGGAGCTGCGGCTCCATTTCCCCAGAAGCTTTGTGGCAAACAGTTGTAAAAGCCACAGAACCAGCCCCTGGTGCATTGCTGGCTGTGTTCATTCAGCCGTTCTGACCCGTGCTGGCTCCTGCATCCCCCTCGCTGCCCACAGAAACAGAGGTTTCTGGGTCTTGTGCATGGAGTTACAGATGCTGAGCAGAAGATAAAGACCCCAAGGTGAGGGACACATCCTGGCACCTGAGCGCTGCTGCTTAAGGGCCAAGCTTGTTGTTTGGGATCTCTTTACAGCAATCAAGCACCTCTGGGGAGCTGTCCCCTGACCCTCAGCCCCTGAGCCCTGAAGCCGAGCCATTAGTTTAGCTGCTGGTGGGCTGCCGTGTGTTCAGGTTTCACACTGTGCAGTAAACAGAGGGCACTTCATGAACTGTGGTCATTTCCAGCCAGTGAAGCCTGATTTCACTCACCTATTTTCCAGACTTTGAACAATGAACACAAAATAGATAAACAAATCTGTGTTTTGTCGTACAGAATCTCCCAAGTGCCCGAGGCTGGTTCAGGTGCAGTGGCTGAAGTTGGGTTAAATTAAGCACTTCTGAAATGCAGAGTAGACAGGGAACAGCTTCCCTTCTGAAGTCCTGGCAGCACAACTGGCTGAGCACGGGAGAAATCCTTTTAAGTGTCAGAGAAATCGTTTGCTTTGAAATCTCCATCATCTGTGTTACCTGGTCTTTTAACCTTACCTATTCAAGCGCTGGAGTTTCAGTGTCACAGTATGACCTTCAGTCTAGCTCCCAAGATTTTTAATATCAGTCCTACCATTTTTTTCTAATGTTTTTTTTTTTTTTCTTTTTCTATTTTATTTATTTATTTTTAATGAAACTGGGTCTCAATTCATGTAATCTGTTCGTGGATAGTGGAAAAGCAAGAGAAGTGAGAGACTCCTTCAACGAATTATTTTACAAGTGACCTGTCTCTACTGACAGTGGTGCTTTTGATATGAAAACATAGAATTAATTGAAGTATTGATAAAGCTGCACTTCAAAGCAAAATGAAGCAATCTACCTTCTTTGGTGCTCTCCAGCTTTGCACCATTTCAGGACCAAGTGCTACGAACATCTGTTTATATGGAGAGAGTGTGATCTATGTGAATACATGCATTTTTACATCTTTTTTCCATGTATTTTCACTATATCATTTTACTATTTAGGTAGAACTTCTGGAATTTCAAAAAATTAATGTAGCTCCCTGATCCTGACATAGTTCTACCTAAAAATGTATTTGTGACATTCAGCTTAACGTTGTGCAACTTCAATCCTAGCATTCAGCTCACTTTTCTCAGAGTTCTGCACATCCATTGGTAAGTGCAAGCCACCACAGTTTTATCTTTTGTGAAAAACCTTGTTTTTCTTACCAAATACAGACTAGGAGAGGCAGCCTTCCCACAGAAGTTCTGATCAGAAATGAATGTCAGCTGTTACTCCAAACTTGCACAGTTGTAATCACAACTGCTTGTATGTGCCAGAAGAAATTGGAATATTTACAGCTTTGCAGAGCAGCCGGAAGGAAACAATTACAAGTGAAATACAAATAGACAGTCATATACACAAATATATGGAAAAAGCACAAATACGTGCACAGACAAGTACATTCACACTCACAGATAAATAGGATGCCAACAGAAAAGAGCAAAATATGTGTTTGCAACTAGAAAACGGTACTGAAGAGGCAGAATATAAAAACATACAGAAGCAGGGGACAGGACAAGCGTGCAAGTATGGAAGTCATGGTAGCAGCTTTTCTGTCGCAGGACTGAAGGCAAGTAGGTAAAGGTGAGCACACTCACACGGGTCTTGTTCTGCACTGGGTTAAAGTTGTGTTTACCCTACGTACACAACACTTTTTCACTGGAAAGGATAAAGCCAGGTAGAAGGTTTTGGGTGGATGGAGACACACCACTGTGTTTGTAAAGTCTGTTGAGAAAGTGCTACTCAGGGCACCTATAAAGTGCAATGAAATTGATGCTGCAGGCAGGGTGAGGGGGTACAAGTAGAGGCAAAATTTTGCTTCCTAAGGGTATGATGGCAGGTGTGGGGATGATCCTTAGGTCTTGGACCTTTCTGCCAGTATCTTTTCTGCAAGTTCACATATCCCCTCACACTCTTATTCCTGAAATTGCAGTTACTGAGTGCCTTATCACTTGGCCTGACAAAGTCATATTCCATCATGAGCAGAGTAAATACCTGCATTTCTCCTGACGGTGCAAATATTTCCAATTGTATAGCTTTATTCTTGCTAGGTTTTCTTTGTCTCTGTGCTTTTTGGGAAATCAATACTCAAAGGAGCGACCTGTGTATCTCTGACTTGCATGCAGTTCCAGCTGAACAGCGCTAGGCTTCTAGCAGAAGGATTGAAAGAACAAAGAAAAAGGCTCATTTAATTTACCTTGAGGGATAGTTAATTTCTCAACTAGAGACAATTTGAAAAGCACAAAGCCCTATGCCAATATCTTAGTCACTCTCAAAAATAAAATTAAGTCTTTCTCGGTAGGAAAATAAATGTCAGTGCTGTGTACATTTGCATCCAGCAGCAATTCTGCAGCTAATTTCATAGTAATTGATATGATGCTATATTGCTTATTATGGGTGTTGAAGCATTAAACATACAGGTCTGAATCAGACTTTGTCTAACACTGATCTGATGTGGTTGTTTTCCACCTACCTAGCAGGCTGACCAGTACACAACATTAACCTGAGCTGGCACAGAAATTAAACACTGATGTCGAATAGTAACCTGAACGCAGTTCAGAATACTATGGGCCACAAATGCAAACTTATATCGTTAAGGCTAACTTACATAGTTCATTAAGTTGCTTAATGAAACCAAGAACAAACCTGGACAATATGGAGCCAATACATCAGATTACAAAAGAAGTTGTTATCCAACCACAAAGCCATTAGCTAGCAGGTAAGTGGATGTTTCTATGATGAGGGTTTCAGAATGCTAAATTCTAACCAATACATTTTCTGAGTGATGCTGATAAATATCTTTATTGTGTCTAAAAGTGACCGATAGAGTAACTTTGTGAGAAAGGTGAGTAATGGGTAATCTATGGAGACCATGAGAGAGACATGGCTACAGAGGCTTAATTCAGACACGTGATAAATTCTTTTTAAATGCAGAACCACACCATCAGGCATCAGGGCATGAGGATGTATTTTCACTGACTGTCCTAAACACATACTCTGAACACTGCTGCTTCTGCACTGCAAGGATGCTCAGCAGGCGGTAGAGTTGCAGCCACAGCTCTGGGAGTCACTACCTCTAAAATGAGCAGACAACAATAGTGCTGGTATGACTCAAAAAAAATCACAGAAATTACCGAAACTGCAGTGGAATAAGAGAAGAGATGGGCTTTTGCCTTGCTGGATAACCTCTGTTCAACCTCATTTACATTTAGGCCAATGGCTAGTTATTATGATGACTCTCTTCATGAGCATGTATGCAGAGAAACCAGCTGTCCTGCACAGACTTCCCCAAACCAGTGCTCCGCTGCTGTAGCAGTGGGTTGGAG